TTAACAATAAAAACCTTCTCAAAATCTTTTGCCGCGATATTTCGGGCATAGTTCTTGGAGTTTCTCGTAAAGTTCGCGGTATCGTTCAGCAGTTTCTTTGGTTCATCCGTGTCCTAGGCCGTAAATTTCCCACTCCATTTTTACGAGTTCTTTTTCTAATTCTCAAATTCATTCTTGGAACGAAGTTGCTTTTTTCATAACTTTTCACTGGGCTTTTTCTTTTTTTGGGGGTGAAAAAAACAAAATTTCCCCCGCGGCTTAATAATCCGCGTATCTTTTGGCGGCTTGTTCGTAAGAGAGGCCCGCATACTTTCATCGCTCGCCGTTTATTTCTGCCCGAATTTCAGGCAGGTAAACCCAATTGTAAAGTTCCACGGGGGGCACGGTTAAGCGTCATTCGCTATCGTCCCAATAGCCTTCGGTTCCGCAATTGTAAGGGGCTAAATGACCGATTTCCTTATTCCACGGCAAAACGGCTAACTCGCCAAACTTGGTATAATCCGTCGGGTTAGGCTGATAATCGGCAAATTTGGTAAAAGTGGGGAGATTTAAAAACTTTAAGGCGGGTAAAATTTTTTGTTGAAATCTGTCATAGGCTTTGGCTCCGTTAAACTCAAACTCTAACCGAATTATAGGCTCGGTGTGGTTGTTGTGGTCGTAAATACAACCCGTTATATTCTCGTTCGGACTGTCCTGGCAAGATTTTCAAGCAGGGTTATTTTTGACTGTGGCACGGGACGAAGTAGTCAGGCACAATTTGATAAAATCAATAGGCGAGTAAGAGTTTTTAAGTGGTGGCTCTTGGGCTTGCTGGCGGGCCCAAACCTAACGAAAATTTTTCTCCTAATTTTGAGGAAAACCATAGAGAAAATTCAGACGAAAATACCGAACCTAATGACACCCCAAACAACGACCAAAAAGTTAACAATAACGACGACAGCGGCAACAATGAGAATGAAGAAAAAAAGAAGTTAACCGAGAGTGAAGCCGAGGAGGAAGGAGGGAACGGAGAAAACACCGAAAAAAATGATAGTTGATGGACTATTCCTTTTCCCGATTTGTTAACCCCAATTTTAGGTCTGATAGTCTTAATAATCGTAATTTATCTTTTGATAAAAATAGTGGGAAAAGTAATTAAAAAAATGTCCGATTAAGTAATTAGCACAACGGCAAAATGCGGGCCAACTCCAACCCCCTAGTTTTTATACCTAGGCCGAGAGGCCGCCAAAACCAAAAACGCAGCAAAAAAAACGCAGCCCTGGGGAGACGAAGCAAGAGAGGCAAAAGTAAATAAGACTGCTAATGTCGTTTTACTGCTGAACTTGCGAAGGCGTTTAATCAATCGCTTAACGAAATTCGGAAAAGTGAGCGAGGCCCGTAGGGTCGAGAGAACACCAGAATAAAAAAATGCCAAAAACACCAAAAAGAAAACCCTTAACTAACGCGGAAAGACAACAATTATTCCGAGCACGGCAAGCCATCGCGCAAGAACAAAAATACTGACAAGGCAATTGAAAAATCCGGAAGGAAATAGAACAAACCCACCACGGAAATTTGCTGGAAAAATGAGATAAGGCTCGGCAAATAGTAAAAAAATTAACTGCTCGCCAAGGAAAACCCAAGGCTCGGAAATATCACTCTGATCGACCTGCAACAGGAGCCGAAAGAGTAGCCCATTATCGCACGCAAAGAAACGGTTGCGAACACAGCCTTATTATTTTCGGTGAGTGTCAAAATTGCCAGCAAATTATTAGAAAATAACTCTCCTTTGCTTTTGATAAAAAAGAGAGCATAACGAAAATAATATTTGCTTAATTTTCGCCCAAAAAGCCGCTATACATGCGGCCTTATGGATAAATATTAGCATGTAACGCTATCATTTAAAAAGTAGCCAATAATAAAAAAATGGGCAGTAATATACAATTTTGCCCTACGGTTCTTTTGAGTAAATAAAACACTAAATTAAA